TTATTTCCGGGGGGGGGGGGGGGGGATGTAATGTTTTTTTACTCATTACAAATCCAGTTTCTAAATGTTATTTGCATATAGAATACCTATAGATTGCTGCAGCAGTGATGTCAAAACCCAGAAGATTAATCCTATGGGCTTTTATAATGGTTTTTTTTTCAATTTATGAGTAAAACAAGGTCTATGATAAATACTTACATTTTGCTCTACAGTATTAATTACAAACTGGTGCAGACAACACAGCTACAGCTCTAAGCCAAGAAGCATCCACAACACAATAAATGCTTGTGTCTTTATGATCAAATCACCACCAGAGAATAGTGTACCCAGCAGTCATAAGACGTTGATTTCACTTTATTGAATGTGTCAGTAATAATAATATAAAAACTTTTACATTGTTAAAATCATATTTTAAACAAAATGCTGCTCTTTTAAAAGCTCTATTCAAAGTAACCTGAAAAAATGTATCACTGTTTCCACAAATGAAGCAGCACAACTGTTTTTGAGATGATAAGAAATGTTTCTTGAGCATCAAAACAGCATATTTTAATACTTTCTGTTGGATTGTATGACACAGAAGACTGGAGTAATGGCTGCTGAAAATTCAAATTAAACATCATAGTAAAACTGTTTTTTTATATTAAAACAGTTATTTAAAATTGTGATATTTCATAATGTTACTGCTTTGCCTGTATTTCTGATCAAATAAATGTAGTTTTGGTGAGCATATGAGACTTCTTTCAAAAACATTTACAGATTTTACCGATCCTAAACTTTTGAACGGTGCATTTTCTGCATTTTTACATGGCCGTGAATTAATTACTTAATTTGAAATTTATGACTCTTACTGGGGCCCTAGGTACACATTTTCAGCTGGGACGCTACTTAGGACAAATAGAGGGCATACTTTTGGCCCACAGTATTCCTACTCTTTCCTCATTGTGTCCACACCCAGCCCACAGTGACACTTCCCCCATTATGCCCACAGCCAGCCCATATTCTCCCCACTGTGTCCACACTCAGCCCACAGTGTACCCACACTTCCCCAA